ACATTGATACTAAATATTAGTATTATTATTACCAAAGTAATTGTAAAAGTAAAAATTAATGTTTGTTTATAGTCTTCACTTTTCAATGTAAGCTGTAAGTTAAACGGTGACACCCCCCCTCCGCCCCATTAAATAGGTTAAATATTTATTTTTAAATTAGTCCCTAATTATTAAAATATATTAATTAGTTATTGTATAGTCATATTTTAGGTTATAGTATGCATATTAGTATATTTGTTTGTTAAAACACATTAGTACATTACGCATTTACACATAATATTTACTATATTATAGTCATTGTCATCAATCATCATATATATTTTCTAAATTGAAATATTATTCCATAAATAAAAATATTATTATACCTGCAAAAGACTTCACGTTACACTCAATGCGAAGTATTTTCGGCTCTTTTAAATTATACCATTGATTATAAATAGTATCATTAAACTATTTACTATTTATAATCAGTGCTTGTACGCTTGTACAAAATATTGGAATTATATTATATTTATTCTGAGTACACATGCGGAAAACATGCGCATTACGGACGTACAAATTGAACGATACTCGTTGATCATTCAATTTTTTTTGAAGACTTAGTTGTTACATTTATTACTTAAGTATCTCGTAATAACTATAGAATTGTGTTTTGTTATGTTATTTTGAAATCATTTAAGCAGCGCGCACACCAGATACGTTACGTTACGTCACGTCGCGGCTTCCGTCAAACCGAAAGCTTTGCATAGTATTAATTCTTATGAACAAGCGCACACAGGTTACGACACGTTACGTTACGTCCCGTCTTCACGTGTGACGGATACGTAAGAAGACGCGTATATTGTTGTTTAGAGCAAAATTGACGTATGACGGTACTTGGCAACAGCCAACAATTACGTACTTAATGCTACAATATAATATTATAATTACAATATTATACTGTTTTTGAGTTTTTCTGTTGTCTGTGAAAAAAGTATTGTGATTTACCTCACATATTTTAAAAAAATATGGAAGACGAATTATTAATTGAGAGTATACGTAGATACACTTTTATTTATGATCCCACTGAGAAAGGTCACGCCGATTTGCGATTGCTGAGGAATGCATGGGAAGAAATAGCTAAAACACTTGGAACATCTGGTAAGTTTATTTTATTATCAGCTATGTTTGAAAATATTAAAATGATTATTAATTGTAGATCAAATTGTATATTGTTATAATGCTAGTATATACTTGTTTAAATATAGGTAATAGGTATATAAAATATAAATGTATACGATAGTAGATAGTACACAGGGTAACGGCACCAGTCATTGGCACTCACCCAGTCTTTGACAATCAATCATAGAAATGATATTTGATAAGAACCATTTAATTATAATGTCATTGTTGGTTATCAATTTAATAGTTAAAATCATGGACTTTAAAATAGTGTAAGAATTCCGTTGCTAACTTCAAAACAAAAATAATCAAAATAATTTTTTTTTTGATAACGTCATAATCTTATATTTCTTATCAAAAATAATAACAAACCCTAAAGCCTATTTTTTTTTTTTGCGCTACGAATATTCAAGGTAAGTTAATGCAATTATTATAAAAATATTCATTAAAGCGTACTTTAATTAATTATATATATTGTGCAGTAATATGAACATAATTTAATGTGTAATATTAAATTGCCAATAACTAGATTTCTAAAACATAAAGTACCAGTGTTTGACATATTTTGCCAAACACTAGGTTCATTTAAAATCCCAGTGTTTGGCATATAGGTATATTTATTTATTTATTTTATTATTCTTGTTTTCAGCAGTGTATGAATAATTAGGTGGGTATTTGTAGTTATGGCTTCCAAACCTAAATTTAAGTACAACACTAATAGCATGGAAAATGCTATTAAGGCTGTTAGAGAAAAGAACATGAATGTTTACCGAGCAAGCTTAGAATTTAATGTTCCTAGGTCTAGTTTGCAGAATTTATTAGATGGTAAAGCAGATATAAATGTAAGGAAATTTGGACCAAAACCAGTTCTCGATCAGTACGAAGAGTTACTGGTGAAATGGATAGAAGTGATGTCTGAAAAAGGGTTTCCCATTGTAAGTAGCGATTTACTGTCTTCGGTGGAAAAAATAGTAAAAGAAATGAAATTGGACACAAAATTTCCCAACGGAAAACCTGGCAAAAAATGGTTAAAGTTATTTATGAATAGGCATCCTTCAATTGCAAAACGTACTGTTGAGAAAGTTACAAAATCCAGAGCTTGTGTAACTAAACAGCAAATCTTGAATTGGTTTTCGAACATTGAGTCATTTTTAATAGACTCTAATTTAAGGGATATTCTTGAGGATCCTAGTAGAATATTCAATACCGATGAATCTGGCTTCATGATGTGTCCGAAAGGAGAAAAAGTGTTAAGTATACGTGGCCAAAAAAATGTATATGAAGTTGTAGGGAATAATGAAAAACAGCAAATCACTGTACTTGTGAATGTTTCTGCAGACGGCATTGTAGCACCAACAATGGTCGTTTTTGCAGGTAAAAGATTGCCAAAAGGAATTGCCCAGACTATGCCGGAGGATTGGGCCATGGCCAAGTCAGACAAAGGATGGATTACTGGTGAAACGTTTTTTGAATATGTTCTCAATGTCTTTTATCCCTGGTTAGTAGAAAAAAACATCAAACTTCCAGTTATTTTATTTCTGGATGGCCACGTATCTCATTTGACGTATCACTTAAGTGTATTTTGTGAAAGTAAAGGAATACATATAATTGCTTTTTACCCAAATGCTACACACATTCAACAGCCTCTCGACGTAGCTATGTTTGGGCCTTTAAAACAAGAATGGGCTAAAGAAGTCCACAAATGGCGTATGCAAACTCAAGAACCATTAAATAAAATGCAATTTTCTCCTATGTTAAATACTGTGATTAAGACCAGGCTAACTGAAGCAACAATCAAAAGTGGATTTGCCACATGTGGTCTATATCCATGGAATCCCCAAGCTATCGATTATAGTAAGTGTTTAACTACTAGTTGTGATCCTGAACCTAGCAATCCTGATCCAGACAATATACCACTACCAACATCAGTAGAACTTAATAATAACCAATTAGGACACAATTATTTAGAAATAATAATCAATAAACAAACATTGCAACAATTTAAAGAAGAATTAAATAATGATGTATGGACGGGACCAACTGAAGCTAAAGATCTCTTTGAAGTCTGGAGAACAAGTTATTTGTTATCATCAGGAACAACAGTTGAAGAAGATCAATGTGTTATGATTGACAATTTAACACCAGAAACTTTTGATTACATACCAACTTTGAACAAACAAATATTAGAGCCAAATGTAGAGACAATAGTTGAAAGTGTAGATTTATCTAATATTCCTAGTTGTAGCACTGCATTTCCTAAGGACCCTACATCTGAAGAAAAAAGAAGAAATAAGTTGGCTGAAAAAATATCTCCTCATACAGGTGGAAAGGGAGTTCCATCACCTTTTAAAAAGAACCTCTTATGGCCAAAAACACCAGAAAAAAGAAATAAAGTAAACCGCAGGTTGCGCATGCCGTCGGTTGTTACGTCGAAAAAATTCCAAGAATTTGAAGAAAAAAAACTAAAAGAGAAACAAATCCAAGAACAATTGAAGGCAGAAAGAAAAAGGAAAAGGGAAGACAAGAAAAATGATTGTAAGGCAAAAAGAGTGACAAAAAAAAGAGGAATAGCAGAAGATGAAGATGAGGATTGGCAGTGTGCTGTGTGTTTGTGTCGATATAACTCTGAAGTTATAAGAGGTATAGTAAGACAATGGGTGGAGTGTGATGGTTGCAAAAAACAATTTCATGTAGAGTGCATACCAAAAGAACATAGGAAGGATTTCGATTTAGATGTTGATGACGAAGAAGAAATAGAGTTTGTATGTCATCTGTGTGTACCTAATGATGATGAATTATCTGGTATTGAGGATTTTGATGATTTTTCTGAAAATTCAGATGATGAGGCATAAGTTACTTAGGTATTACAAGTTATTATAAGTTAGGTAGGTACCTTTAACATTTTTATTTTTATTCCAATATGATTAAAACAGAAAGAAGACTGTAACAAATTAAAGAAAAGACTAATTACTTATTATTTTTAAGCTAGGTAGTGATAATTACTTAGATATACCTATTGTTAATTGTATATAATATTGTTTATTTTGTTTTAAGTAATGGAAAGAAGAGACTGATCCAAATTGAAGAAAATACTTATTATTTACCTAATTAAATATTTATTATAAAAAGGTTAACCAGAAATTTGTTTATTTTTTATCTCAAAGTACCTTTATCATTTTGTTATAACAAATATAAAGTTAATGTTTTTTTATCCACATGTCTTATTTATTTATACAAACCTAAATACCTATGTTAAATAGTACAAAAAAAAAAGTATATTTAGGTATTTATGAATAGGTAATAATAATGAAATTAAAATGTTTTAATTTAATGTTAAAGACTGGATTATTGTTAAGCCAAAAACTGGGTTGTGCCAAAGACTAGGTTTCAACTATACCAAAGACTGGACTTTTTGTGCCATACACTAGGTAAAAACCAAAAATATGAACTTTTAAAATTAAATGGGTATTTTTAAATAAATATTTACATAGTTATAATCATTTGAAAGAGTACAGAATTCTTCATAATTAGGTTAATGAAATAATATTGTAGCATGATTTTAAAAAAGTGAATTAATATTTAGAGTTGGTAATAAAAAAATAATCGCTATATTGCCAAAGACTGGTGCCGTTACCAAATATAGGTAATAGGTATATAAAATATAAATGTATACGATAGTAGATAGTACACATGCATTATTAGGTATACTCTTGTTAGAGTTAGTTTATTGATATTGTTATATTATTTATTATATATTATATTATTATTGTTATATTATCTGTAATTATAATAAAAAAAGTCAAAATATTTTTAGAGCTATACTATATACCTATACAGGGTTAGGTACAGGCCTTTTCCCACTGCCATGGAACTGAACCATAATCCGAGACAAAAAACTGTTTGAAATTTTCTCTAATATTGTAGGCTTCTCGTGGATTGTTTCCTCCAACACCAGTAAAATTATTCAATCCTCTTGTAGGTGTTGTATCTTCCAATTCACCTGGCTGCCAGTGACAGTTATCGTTGCGTAAAAAATTATGTAAAACTGTCGTCGCCATTACAACTATGTCCATATGCTCTGGTTTAAAGTTGAATTTCCTGTTGTAGATTTGAAACTTTTTCGACAGTATACCGAATGCGTTTTCGACAACTCTTCTAGCTCGACAATGGCGATAGTTGTAAACCTTATTGTCTCGATTATTTTCTAGACTTTTCCCTGGAAACGGTCTCATTGTATTAGGAGTTAATGGAAAAGCTTCATCGCAGATAATCACATGGGGGACGATTACATCCGAGTGTGGTAATGGTTTTGGTGGAGGAATATTTAAACTACCATTAGCAAGGGCTTGTCCTAAGGATGATGATTTAAAAACTCCACCATCACTATTCCTCCCGTAAGCACCAATGTCTACAGATATAAATTTGTAATCTGCGTCAACAAGAGCTAACAAGACGATACTGAACTCTTTTTTGTAGTTAAAGTACATGGACCCTGTTTTTGGCGGTTTTTCAAAAACGCAGTGCTTTCCATCCAATGCACCTATGCAATTTGGATAGTTCCAGATTTGCCAAAACTTTTCTTCTACTCGTTTCCATTGTTCCTCAGTTGGTTGGGGCATATAGATCGGCTGCAAAACTTCCCATAGGGCTCTACATGTGTCATAAATTATTTTGCGAACTGTGGACTCACCAATCCTATTAGTAAATGAAATAGTCGCAATAGAGTCTCCATAGCCCAAAAATCTGCAAAATTTAAGTCAAAATAATTTGAAAGTTATACCTTGTGTATCATTTTACAATGATGTTTTTATATTTTATTAAAAAAAATCAATACAATATTTTAATAAGTATTTAGTAGGTAATTAATTTATTAAATTTTTAACTACAAAAAAATTTTTAACTTAAAATTAAAATTTAATAAATATTGTATATAATGTTTTTGAATAATTATTGTAATCCAAACTTATGGAAAATCGTATTAAATTTTCAGCTCTTATAGCTACGTATACAAATTTTTTTATAAATTGCCTATGTATTTTTAATATTTTCAAACTGCTATTTTATTAACTTATGGGGAACCTTTTATTAAATTTTCAAGTTTTTTGACCCAACAAATAACATTTTATTGGAATTTATAGAATGAAAAACTAAAAAAACGGAAAATTTCAAACGTCTTTAAATAACTTAAAAATTGTTGAAATATTTTGAAAATTTTATGAAATAAATATTTGGTGTAAATTTCAAGTTTCTACAATTATTCGTTTTTATTTAAGAACAAAATAAGAATATCCGTACAACAGAAATTAAGCGAATATCTAATATTGTAATTCAAATGCTCATAAAAATTTAATTTGACTTTCCGGTAGACATTTTTTATTTGATAAAAGTAGACAAACTCATGAAGAATCTTGTATAGAATTTTCAAACCTTAGATTTAAAAAGAAAAATTTTTATGAATTTCTAACTCAAAATAAATTGCAAATTTTCGTGATTTTTACGTATTTTGTCAAAATTCGAACTTTCAATGCTTATTAAAAAAAACTGTGACCATGTATTTTTAATATTTTTTAACTACTTTTGCGACAATATATTAGAAGTCTAGACACAGTCTTCACAGACACAAAAAAAAAAACACACATCATTGTAAAATCATTGAAAGTTCGAATTTTGACAAAATATGTAAAAAATCACAAAATGTTGCAATTTTTTTGAGTTACAGGAACTTTGTATTATATTTTCAAGTATTTTGACTTAGTTTGATATTTATAATAAAAAAAATTACATAAACGAATATTTCAAATGTCTATAAAAAGCCTTAAAATAAGTAAAATATTTTGAAAATTAAATTTTGTAATAAAAAAAACAATCTAAATAACTGGTGAAATTTTAAGTATCTTTGTGAAGTATATCTCATAAATATTATTCGCTATATTAACAATTGATGTTGGAATAATGTCAATATTAATTTAATATTAATTTGTGACTTTTTAGTCTCGGAATGCAAAAAAAGATGGACCAGTCTTCGTGACCAGTATCGGCGAAATGTTGTTAAAAAAAAAACAGTAAGTGGCCAGAGTGCAGTGACTCGTGTTAAATGGAGGTTTGAAGATACATTGTCGTTTTTATCACCACATATGAAAGAAAGGACTCAAAAGTCAAACTTGGATACTGGAAATTTATCTGATTCTCATGATAACAGTATAAATATAACACATGATGATGAAACCAATCAATTTTTAGAAGGTTCTGATCAGTCGCCACTTCCAAGCAATTCTTCATATCAGGTCCCATCGCCACTCCCAAGTACTTCATCATATGCAAACCCATCGCCTGCTTCTACTATATACTCATCTCTTGGCAGCAATTCACACAATAAAAAAAATAATAAAACTTCTCAACAACCAACGACAGCTCAAGTTCTTCAAAACTATATAGATTCAAAAAAAGCCAAGTTAGAATCGACTAGTGACCACATTGGAGCATTTTTTACCGCTATGAAAGCAACTACTAGAAGACTGCCACCAGTTCTTCAAATTGAAGCAAAAGCTAAAATTAGTGCATTACTCTCGGATTTGGAGATGAAAGCTTACTATCTTTCTAATGAACACAATGTTTCTATTGCTTCACCACATCAAAGTACCAGCTTATCCAACTCCTTCAATGATACAGCAAATATGACACTAACTGCACATAATATTGCCTCACCACTTCAAAGTACTTCTTTTAATAACCAAACAAACAATATGACGCTGCAAACTGTGTCTCCTAGCAAACCAATGGATTTTTACACTAACCAAAACCGTATAATTGCTCATTGTACAACAGACACATCAACTTCTAAAGATCAAATTGAAATCTTTGGAATCGATAACAATTTATATACTTTTCAATAATATTTTTGCATTTGTTTAAACATTTTTTTTAAAATTTGTAATATTTTTTTAATATTGAAAAGAGTTCATAAACAGTAATAAACCATTTCTTTTTAAATTATGATTGTATTTTAAATATTATGTTTACTTACTTTAGGGTGATTGCCAATCTTTCATCCGGTGGGATACAGCGCCTGAAATTTGTGTCTTGCTTTTGTAGTTGTGGCAGCATGTTAAGTAATTCAAAAAATTTGTTCGAACTCATTCTAAAATATTTAAAAAAATTTGACTCATCTTGAAGGAGATTTGGAAATAACGTATGAAATTCTCCATGCTCATCTCTTTTTGTGTTGATGTTATGAACCCATAACCGTTTTTTTTTTCGCCTTCTCTTCCTCCTCTGCATTACTTGCCATTAAAAATAGTTCCTCGTCGGATGAAAAGTCCATGGTAAAATTGCAATGTAGGTGTAATAACAAATTTAATTTAAAAAAATAATAATAATGAAAGAAAACCACAACCAAATACACTATACTATATCAAAAATGTAAAATACAGATTGACGACGACTGTCTGACGATTATCGGGACGTAATCTAAACGTATCTACTATCTAGTGTGCGTGGCGCTAACGTTCCGACACATCACGTCTCCGACCGTCTCCAAACCGTAACGTGACGGAACGTAACGAAACGTATCTGGTGTGCGCGCTCCTTTATACGTCATTTCTACTGTGTTGTTATCAAATAATTACAATGTCTAGTGACAAATGTGCATATTTTAACTGCACAAATACACGTAGAAATACATCAAATATAATATTTCATCCTTTTCCATCAAACGAAGAAAGGTCCAAAATATGGATAGTTAATTCTGGTAAGTAGCCAAGTAGGTAATTAACATTCGTAATTTATCTATAATATAGGTAATAAAATCTGCAATAATATAGAAAAACATTTTTTAATTTAGGAAATATTAAACTAGAATCTCTAAGTCCTAAAAAGTTAAAAAAAAAGTTTGTATGTTCATCTCATTTCGAAAAAAACGCCTATCCTAATCCCACAGACCCAAAATCACGACTAAACCGTAATGCAGTACCAAACAAATATATAAGTAAGAAAAAATCATATTTTTGTGTATTTTATTTTTGACACATGCAAATAATATAAATTAAAAAATGTTAGATGAGTTAATAGATGATAGGTAATGTTCCCGAAACAAATACGACTGTTGAAAAAGCACCCATAAATTGGACATGGCAGGTATCAAATCAAAATACTACCGAAGGTAGGTATACATATTATTATATACCTATTTTAAATATATTTATTTTACAATGTTGTGCAGTTGTAGAACAGAGCGATATTGATTTTACAATAATGCGTGTTTAATTGTTTTTACTATTAATTTTTATTTGTGTCTGTGTAGTGTGTACAGTGTACACGTTAAGTATAATCGAAATATTGTATCGATTTTCCACTTCAGTATCTTGTCCGATGGGAAAGTGAATTTATTTGGTGCGTTGGGTAGGTCAAAATTTTTAAAAGCGACGGGAAAAACAAAAATAAAATCAAGGAAAACTGGGAATTTTGAAACGAAACTGAGTTTTCGAAATCAACTATGGTTTTTGGTGTAACTGTAAAACAAATGACCATACATTTATGAAATTTTCACTGTTTATAATATTAGCATTAACAATAATCGATACAATTTTCAAAATATTTTCATTTGTTTTGACCTGTTTCAGTTTTCATTTTCACCTGTTTCATTTTTTTCGGTTTTTTTTCTATAGATGTCAATAAAATTATATATGTTGGGTAAAAAAGCTTGAAATTTAATATAAGACTTCTAATATACTGTAACAATGGCAGTTGAAAAATTTCACAATTTTTTTTTATAAACATTTAAAGTTTGGATTTTGATAAAAATTCATCAACATATCGAACATTCGCAAATTATTTTGTAGTTAAAGATTTATGAAATTTCCAGTCTATATAGCTAAGGTTAGAAAATTTAAAACAAGGTTTCCTGTAACTACCTAGTGAATAATATAAATAATAATATAATAAATAATACAATAATATATTTATTTAAATTTAACACTTTTATTTATTTTTAGGTGCATACACACAAGTTGATGAAACAATCATAACGACATCAAAAAAATCACGACATCAATTTACAGATGAAATGTTTGAAGGCCAGTATAATTTAAATTTATAGTTAATTTTTAGTTGGTACTAAAGAATGACAACAACACGAGTATGATAAAATCTATTTTACCATACTTATATTTTTAATTTTTAAAAATTTGTAAATTTTAGATTCAGAGTGAAGTGATGAATTTATTGATTTTACAGTGATGTGTGTTTTTTTAATTTTTTAATTTTTTAAATGTTTTTTGTTTGTCATCACCTTTTAGGATAGTAAAAATGCTTAGATTTTCTTCAATGGTATCTTTTCTGATAGGAAAGTAAATCTAGTTGATACTTTGTGGCCAGTAGTTAAGTAGTTTTCAAAAACGCCATAAAAAACAAAAGAAAAATTAAGGAAAAACGGGAATGTTTACACAAAATCAATTTTTGACAAAATCGTTTTTGGATTTCGGTGTATCTCCAAAACAAATTACTGTAGATACATGGCATTTTGACTGAATGTTTATATTAGCATTTTCTATATACCTTAACATTTAATAAATATTTTGACTTATTTTGAGCTGTTTACGGACATTTTCAGTTTCCATTTTGTTTTAGTTGTTTTTTCTATAAATATCAATAAAATTGTATTTGTTGGGTAAAAAAGCTTGAAAATTTAATAGAAGGCTACTTATATATTATATCAAATGTAGATGAAAAGAATTAAAAATCTGGTCACAATTTTTTTTTTATAAACATTTCTAGTTCAATACTTGACAAAATACGTAAAAATCACGAAATATGCAAATTATTTTGAGTTAGAAATTCATAAAATTTTTCCATTAAAATTTAAGATTTTAAAATTGAATACAAGATTCATTGTTAGGTCATCTAGCTTTATCAAAAAAAAAAAAATGTCTGTATGAAAGTCAAATTAAATTTTACAACATTTGGATATTCACCCGATTTCTCATGTAGCAATTTTCTTAATTTGTTTTAATTCAATGACGAAAAACCGTATTAGACACTTGAATTAATTTACACAACATATTATTTACTATATAATTTTCCAAATTTTAAATTGTTATAATTTTTTATAGTAATTTCTACACTTAATTTTCAAAATATTTTGACTTCTTTCGAGTGGTTTACGGACAATTCACAGTTATAATTTTTTAGTTTTTTTTTATCAATGTTAAATAAATTTTAGTTGTCGTCAAAATTAATATAAGGCTCCTGATATATTGTTACAATAGCAGTTGAAAAATATTAAAAATACATAGGCAAACTTTTTTTTTATAATCATGAATTTTAAAGTTAGAAATTAACAAAATCTCGAAAATTATCAATCATAGTAATTAAAAAAAGCAGGTAAGTGGGTGTCGCTCTGCTGTACAGTAGGTTACAAGCGGGTCAATGTATAATGGATTGTATTAAAGTTGAATTCTGAAAAAATATCAAAAACACAGTTATATTTTACAGACATTTTAAATTCTAAGTTGGACGAAATTATACATATTAAAACCAAGAATAACGATTTTAGTTATTTTGTTGTAATTTAAAAATATTCGTGGATATATGAAAATGTTAGAGTATTTTATTTATATATATTTTATACACACAATGACTTTTTCAAATGTAATTCTTTTTGGGAAAATGAAAAATTTAATATCATAAAATATTATGTCTATTGTCTACCTATTAATAGTAATATTATAGGCTGACATACCGTCTTCGCTCAGAATATTTTTTCGTATACAATAATATTATATCATTGAATTCAAATTTAGTTCCATCCATTTCAGTAACCTACTGTACAGCAAAGCGACATCCACTTGCCCACCTTTTTCAATTAAATGTTGTAAAAAAATTTAAAGCGTTTGGTTTAATTTTGGAAGAATTATTACAAAGTTTTCGGTAATATTTCTTGTATATATTTTTAATTTGTAAATCATTTTGTTTAAGGGTTGACACCTTCACCAAAAACGTTGAAAGTAATGACACCAAATCGTAAATATGAAGTTTCCGATTCTTGCTCAAATATTCGAGCACCTGGTTCACTAATTTTTGAAAACAGTCCATCGAGTTCAATAGCTACACCTACAACTAAATCTTGGGTCTCAGCACTAATCGATTTTCCCAGTCCTATGCCAAAAATGAGACAAATAAAAAGCCCAAAAAAAAGCGCACTTCAACAAGAGTTAATTAGGATTAGAAAACTTTTAAAAAGAAAACGTTCTATTATTTCGGCATTAAAACAGAAAAAAACAAACAAAAAGCAGAAATCTAATGTGAATGATTTATTTAAAACATTTAATTTTCCATCTAAAAACTCAAGAAGTTTAGTATCAATGCAATTGTTACACAAGAATCGTAAACCTTGGTCAGCTAATGAAAAAAAAGTTGCGCTATCATTATATTATAAGTCACCTTCGACTTATAAATACATGCGAAGGACTGGAATTGTATTGCCGGCTATAAGTACAGTGACACGTTGGCTACGGTCGATTAACTATTCCACTGGATTTTCGGCCAAATATTTAGAACAAATAAGGTTAAAAGTTTTAAATATGGATTATAATGAAAAGAAATGTGTTCTTTTATAAGATGAAGTTTCTATAATGAAAACTTTAGAATATAACAAGATTTTGGACGAAATAGAAGGGTTTGAGGATTTAGGTGATATGGGACGTACTGAAAAACTTGGTTCTCACGCGTTAGTAATTATGGTTCGTGGTCTTTACAAAAATTGGAAATTGCCTTTATCATAATTTTTTACTGGCAGTGGAGATAAAGGTGATACTTTAGTCGAAATTGTTAAAAATTGCGTCAAAAAAATTGTGGAAATTGATTTATTGCCCACTTGCATTGTATGTGACCAAGGGACACAAAATCGTCGGATGTTTTCGTTGCTAGGTGCATCTCAAAATAATCCTTCAACTGAAATATGTGGCAAAAAATTATTTCTTATTTACGATATGCCACATCTTATCAAGAGTTTAAGAAATAATCTACTATCTGGTGATTTTAAAATTGGCAATAAAGTTGTGTCTATAAATGATATTAAAAAAACGTATGAAATTGACAGCCAAAGTAAAACAGCAAGAGCTATGACCAAAATAACACCAACTCATCTATCTCCTAACCCTTTTAAAAAAATGTCCTGCAAGTTAGCAATCCAACTCTTGAGTAATTCTGTATCTGCAGCTATAAAAACATGTGTGGCTACTGGGCAACTAAAATCGAATACAGCACTACATACTTCAGAATTTATTAATGTCATAAATAATAAGTTTGATTCGGCAAACAGCAAAAATATATATGACCGAAATCCAAACAGAAGACCTTTAAGTCCTAAAAATTCAATAGTGTTCGACAACTTGAAAAAAGCACAAGCTTTATTTAAAGAAGCGGTAAAAGTATGCCATAAGAAAAAAACAATCAGTACGCCCCCTTGTTTTATTGGAATAATTTGGACGAAAACAGCTATTTTAGAACTATACGAACAAGAAAAAGTAGACATGCAAATCTATCAGCCAAATAAAGACAATTTTTTAATGACAAATCGACTAACACAAGATATATTAGAAAATCTATTTTCAGTGATACGACAAAAAAATGGCTACAACAGAAACCCCACAGCCCGCACGTTTCGCTGTTGTTTTGGGCATATATGTACATATAGTTTGATGAAATGTTTGACAACATGTTGTAATAATTGTGAATCGGATGACGATGAATTTATAACTGTTGAAGTATTGAAGGATGTTCCTGTAGAAAACTTAATTTTATCAGAAAACGGTGAATTGTCAAATGAAAATTATGTTCACGAAACAACCGATTCTGACAATAGTTTAAAGTCAAATGAAGGAATTTATGATGTTGACTTATCACTGGAGACGTGTTCAATAACTTATTTTTCTGGTTATTTAGCAAAAAAATGTTTTGATAAATTTAATTGTGCCAACTGTAATTTAATCAAACCAAATGAACACTTAGCTGACAAAAAAGAACTTTTAATTATACACAAGGTGTTCGATTATGTGCAACAATCACAAGGCTTAAAAGCTCCATCTGATGAGCTAACACAAATAGTGACAATATGTTTAAATATATTTAAAAATACATTTCCTAAAATTAAGAGCTCAAAGCAAATTTTAAAACAACTTTTGCATAAAGCCGAAAGACAAATAAATAATCATTTTTTGGTTTTACAAAATTCGTGTAAAGATCACTATGAATTTATTTTACAGCTGCTGTTTAGGACACGCATTTATAAGGAATGTAAGTGGATTAATGCAAACCTTGGAAAGCGAAGTTATCAAAATGCAGCCAAATTGCGAATATTTGAAAATAAATAAATAAATAGGTAAATTATAATTTTGTAATTAATGTTTTGTTATGTATGCAGTGTACAAAATAAGTAATTTATTATAATATTGTTACATAAACAAATTTGAAATAATAGGTAAATAAAGTTGAAGATAAACTCAATTGTTTTGTTAATTTACAATTCTCCTTGTATTTTTATTATGAAAAAAATATAATATTTTTGCTTGAATTTTATTAGAAGTTAAATTTTAATAAAACAATAAATTGTAAAATAGGCTTAGTCACTGGTCACAGGCGTAAGTACGGTGTCACAGTGGTAATATAAGTCAATAACAGTAAAAAAAATTATTTATTTTGCAGGGGGGTAATGATGTATTTATTATTTCCAGTGTACAAATTGCATTAGTCGTAAAATAAAAAAACATTTGAATGAGTCTAATTAGTTTTTTTATTTTTTAAACACTTGTTTTTTGAATATGTTGATGAAAATATTTTAGTCATGGTTTAAGAAATCCTTCTAGTTTATTCATTTTGTTATTACTTTTGTGTTATTAGTTTCGACGTATTTTAAAAGTATTTTAAATGTTCACAAGCGAGTAGGTAATCGAATTTCAGATAAAAGCTTTTTATGTGAGCAAATTTCGGGCGAAATTAGCTGGTCTGAACTCGTCGCTGAACGGTTTGTATTCTGATTCCTAGCCGCCAGCGGCGACGACGTCTGTAAATGAAATCGCTGAACTACTAGCTACTGCGGTCTGCGACGCCGCCGCCGACGATGTTTGACGACGACGCACGACAACAGTTGTCCGCGGCGACGATTACGGCGATTAGAAATAATTATTTTATTTTATTATAGGCCGAATTCCTTAGCGCTCTCTATTGGGAGTAATTACGGCGCAACGTATTATGTGCTGCAGTGAGCTATCTATAGTATTTATAATCAATGCAACTATACATAAATCACTAATTTTATCCAAACTTGAATACAATTCGTTCCTGTTTATAAACGGTAAGAAAAATGCGTTATAAATATTAGACACAATCCATAACGCAGCAGCAAGACTGGCAACTGGGGCCTTTCGGTCCAGTCCCATTACAAGCCTACTTAACATATCCAATGTGATGCCCCTGCATATTAAACGCCAGGAAAACGTCATGATGCTTGCCATAAAACTTGCTAGAAACAATATGGTATCATCTGTACATTCATGCCCTTCCATACAAGCAATTGTTAACGAAAATAATCTGAACCTCAAAGACATTATTATCTCCCAAATGCCCTGCTTTCCTCCATGGACCTCGATCTCTAATATGATAGATACAAGTATTACCAGTCTGCCTAAAAACACAACCAGCTTACACATTTATATTCAAGAATTCAAAAACATTTTAGATCAGTACTCCAATTTCATAAAAATTTACACTGACGCATCCAAAACTGAAAGCACCGTGGGAATCACTATCATATATAATGACGTAGAAGAAATAACATATAAACTTTCAGTAGAATGCTCCATATACACCGCTGAAGCAATTGCTATTCTTAAAGCCCTAGAATATTCACTTGATAAACAAAACAATAACTTTGTCATCCTAAGCGACTCCCTAAGCTCTATAATAAGTATTGCCAGCACTCACAAACCTAATGACATATCAAAGAAGATTCAGCTCGCTATCTCTGCCCACCAAGCCAAAGGAAATGTAGTAAAACTAATGTGGATTCCAGGACACTCATCAATAGAAGGCAACAAAAAAGCTGACACGCTCGCTAAAAAAACAGCAGTAAATACCCCCAACAGCATTATCGCAAACATCTCTGCCCATGATGCCAAACGCACAATAAAACTCATATCAGCAAAATCCTGGCAAAACCTCTGGTCCACACAAAGAACAAAACTCAATGAGATAAAGCAATCAACCCTACATTGGCTAAACAACCACTCAAATCATAAAATAGAAACCAGTATCAATAGACTCCGAATAGGTCACACCAAACTCACCCATGGGTACCTGATGTCTCGTGAGGCACCCCCTATATGCCCATCCTGTGGTGTAAATCTATCGATCAAACACATCATGACCGAGTGCAACACCTACCGTGATGCAAGGGAACACAATCATCTTCTGGAAGACATATTTGAAAGCCTCGGACCTAACCTACCAGTCTCCAATATAATAGCCTTCCTTCAACAGTCCGGTTTGCTCAAACTTTTTTAATAACCATACACATTAAATAATCATTTTTTATTCTTTTGTCTTTTTTTTTTTTGTTTTCTAACACATAACATTGTATCATAATTCAAAAGATCATTATTTATATTATTATATTCGTCTAGCTATACGCGCTGCAGCCAGGGGCGTATACAAGGGGTGGATGTGGGGGTCAGA